GTTAGACCATTGACCACGCGTCCTCGAGAGGACGGAGCATTGCTCCCACAGGACCGATCACCGATGGCCAAATGTTCCCTCCTACTGTGCCAAAGATGGCTCAAAAGTGTCTTCCCTAGTCTGTCTATCCTAACGATATCCCTTCCCGCCTTTTCAACCCACCTCCTATGCCCCACTACAGCTACCGTCCTTTCCTCTCTATTCCGTGCCTCAAACATCTCCCTGTACGTCCCATCTATTTTTCCCAGCTCAGTCACGTACACTTCCCTCTCCTTCTTGTACCACGGACGTTCCGCGACTACATGAACACGGTCTTCGCATTCGAAGCCGCCATCACATTTGAACTCGTCGTCTTCGTCGTCTACCGTCCTATGTCTTCGTCGACGTTCTCGAAGGCCTATGTCCCCGGTCCTGAATTTGACCTTAAGCTTTGTGGCTGCATCCATTGGTCCATGTAGGTAATCCTTGAACCCTATTCCTTCCTTCAACATTCCGTACACTTCTAGACCCTCCTTATCCTCAGTTTCTTCCTTAGATTATGTTCTCTCTCGGCACAAGCAACAGATATCTTCTCCTTGAGCCCTTGTAGACCCTCCGTTTCCAGCGTTTCATCTTCGTCGATGTCGAGCCCCTTCCATACGTCCTCTACAACCTTGACCCATTCCGTGGGTTGTCTACCCCTCTTTTTGTTTGCCCACTTCGCCTCCCATACGATTCTCGGCAACCTCTCCTCTCCCATCCCGCACATGCGATACTGCCATGTCAGTTTCCTCGCGTCTCTTCCCGACCGTAGGGATTGGATCCCCAATTCTGCCCTGACGGCTGCATTACTTGTGCGCGTGGAGCATCCTAGGATGATTTTCGCTGCTTTCATCTGCACCGCCTCGAGTCTTTCACTACCTTCTTATTTCCTTCCCATACTTCTCCGGCGTACTCTAGCGGCGGTACGATTACGCACTTCAAAAAATCCAATTTGATGCGTATATCGAGGTGCCGGTCTGCGAGTGTTGGGTGCAGCTTCCCTGCTCGTGTTTTGTCCTTTTCCGCTACCTTGGACATATGTGCATTCCACGAGTAGTCTTTTGCGATCTCTACTCCGAGGTATGTGTACAGAACGGGGTCGGAGATATGAAACGTCAAAATCGGGTCGAGCCTCAATATCTTGTTTTGGGCAGAAGGACCAGCCGAAGTCGGCCTAATTTCCTAAAAACGGATTTCTTATTCCTTTGGGCTGTCGCATCCTTCTCATCTCTTGTTTCCTTATTGTCTTGTTTCTGGCGAAGAAAACAACACGCACCGGTACTCAAGCGCAGCCTGCGGCGGCGCGGGGGCGCGGGGGCGTCCGCGAAAATATCCTCCCCCCTGCCTACAAATAAGTATTTGCGTGAGCTAGGAAGGGGGCGGGAGCATGGCACAGCAGCAGCATGATCACTGGAAATTTTCTAATTGGACGCGCTCCCCCAGCAACCCCTCTTGTTTCTTACATCTCGGGGGTGTTGCACGATCATGGTTCTTATGGGGACATTTCTTATGTTGTGGTCGAGATTGAGCAGAGTTTTTCATGCCCTGTTTTCTTATTTTTCGTTAAACGTTGAGCCAATTTTTCTTAACATAATTTTTCTTCATTGCGCGCCCGTTCTGTACTGGTCCACTACTGCAATCTCCTCGATCCTCCACTTCCATCTATGTTCTACTGAATCGTCCTTGTTCTCGTTGCATACCATGACGGCACTCTTCTTAACTTTGGCAGACAATCTCCACTCATCAGTAATCTTCTTCGCCGCGTCAATTTGCAGTTGCAGTCCCTCAGGGGTGTCCGACATACCGACAAAATCATC